CCCCCCCCCCCCCCCCCCCCCCCGACATCTCGAGTTCCACGAACAGTTGTGTCCACGGGCAATCGATAGGGAGCGTGCGACACCCGAAATATCAATAGCCCGGAATGATATATTATATCGACGTAGTCTCTCTTTTGCCGTCTCGATGTTCTGCCTGCCCTGGTGTTTTTTCGTTGCCACGGCTCTGCTCGCACCCGCTGTTGAGAAGTGGCTGGCGATTGTCAGCCGGAAGAGAGGATGCTCCCTGTTATCCTCCTCAACCGGGATTTGACGATACTCTTCGTGCGAGAACCACAGTGGAACGTTGCACTTGTGTCGATGTCGGTGTGGGTATGTAAGCCACAACAACACAACAACACTGATGTGATCGCGATCAAATGTTCTTGTTCTTCCCATGCATGCAGCTAAACAGTTTGCCATTCCACAAGCAATTCGGAACACAAGACTCAAGAGCAGAAGAGCCCCCGTACTTCTTATCCCAGGCAGCAAAGGGCATCAGCAGAGACCTGCTTTCTCCGACCTTTTAGGTTTTCGTTTTTTTTCGGGGCGTTGTCGTCGATGGCGCATGTAGCAACCGTCAAGACGCGGCTTCTGACGTTCACTGTTTCTCGTGTTGTTGTTCCCAGGTTTGATCTACCGGAGGAAAGAACGATCGTGAGCTATCTGGTGAACTCAGGGTACGCCGTCGTCGCACCGGCTAGCAAGAACCGGGTATCTGGGTGAGCCAGGCGGGCGACGGTGGTGCTTACTTTCCAGGAATTTCGTGGGTTTATGACGTCATTGCTCGCTGGACGGGGAAGCAGCAACGATACCTCGAGTACCAGCGTGTTGACAAGCACGACAATTGGTTGTCTGGGACGGCGTTTCGTGTCACGGCGCCGTTATTCGGCTCGCTGCCAATAAAACGAACTGTAGTACGCTTACGCTTTCGGAACGTCGAGCACAAGTGCTGTGTACCGCATTTGACAACAATGGTTCAGCCACCGAGTAGTGACATTCCATCGCACCCTGTCCCAATCAATGTCCGTGTGCCCTTGGTTGTGTATGCACGCCACCCCGTGGTCTCGTGTCAGGTGCTGGCAGCACAACTCGGAGGACGGTGACGTCAACCTCGTCAGAGCCATGCTGTGGCGGTGGTACAGGGACTGGTGAGAAAAAATTCAGTAGAATGATCGTTGTCGGAGGATGACAATTTGCTGGATTCACACGCGGCAAGCTATTTTGCTGTCTTGGCGTCTTGCCGGTATGGGACCGGAACGGAACGAACGTTCGGGGCGCAGCATAGTCTAACCCTACCTCGCCCTCACGTTCGAAGGGGGCGAACACATAGGATAGAGGTGTCTGGTGCAGTACAAGAAGCGGAGGAGGCTGTTCGCCCATCGAGTTGATAAAGAGTGTCGGCAGTGCATCGCAGCTTTTTAGTTCGGCGCATGGGTTGTTCGCTCTATCATGACTGGAGGCACAACGCACTGTTTATGTCATGGCTTTAACGGGGGTCCTCCTGAAACGACGTGTAGTTGATTGGTCGTTGGAGGCACCCTCTGTGCCTGTAGCTACTACTTGAGGGTTTCGATAAGAAAGCTTTATTCACACTCCCGGCCCCGTGGTACTGCTGTTGGATTGACGTCCTCAGGTCCATTCCGCCGAACACGCCGCTGTTCCTGTTCGGGGCTAGCTCGGGAGGGAACATGGCCACCATGATGGCCAGCAAAGGAGGCTTCCAGCTGTGCGAGAAGCGGACTACCTATGTCCAGGTCTCGGGGGTGATATCTCAGGTAGGTGTAGGGGGTACAAAACAGTCCGTGCAGGCAGTTCAATGGAACTGCTTTGCCACATGAGAGTTTTTCTGGGATGGGGAGGTTAAGGTTTTCGCTGCTTTGGAAGGCTTGCGCTGGGTCAGACCTCTAGGGGAGGGGAGGTGGTACCGGTGTGAGCAAACTTCTCCATCGCTATCCGATGTATGTGCCGAAGGCCTACCCGTTGCAAACCCGCTGTGGTCACAATAATCGATTATTCTTGGCTGCTAGCGCGGGCGTGGAATGCTCTGAGGATGTTCACCCTGGTCCATGACACCATTGCATGTCGCCAGTGTGATCCTTACTCGAAGCGTCGGCCGTCTGTGCCCTGGGCGCTGCAGCAGAAGTACAGCTGTAGCCCTGTTAGTGGTAAGATCGGTGCTTTAGCCGTGCTGTGAAAAGGGTGGTTGGTTGTTGCCCCAGGCCGCAGCAGCCATTGTTTCTCGTTCCTGCTCGGTATTGCGATCAGCACCATCGCTCCTTGTCCACTGCGTCGACAGTTGTGCCTCTGCCGCTACTGCTGCTACGGCCTTTTTATACCCTACACTGTACAAATCCATCCATGCTGCAGACCTGTCCCGCGAACACAATGGAGGCGCGTGCCCCTTAATCGTTCGTGGCGTTGCCGTGACATACATTCCTATATCGCCTGCCCGTGTCTCTTGTCCATGTCCACCAGGTGTCCTGGGGGGTGCCTCCCTCTAGCTACGGTTCGGGCACTCCTCCGATCGCCTTCATGCCTATGCCGAAGGTACCTAACCGTTTTCACTTGTGACCTTGCGGCTCGTACCGTGCGGTCCCGCAGGTGTATTTGTGTGCGATGGTTGGTATTAGGCGGTTGCGTGATCTTCCGGCTCTTTCCGCGCGATAGAGCACACGCTGTCGATGCACGAGGGCATCTGCTGGCTGGTACAGCACGCTGTCGCACGTTTGCAAAGCTGCCCTGGGCGATGAACGGACTATTTAGATATGTTTTACCTTGACACATTTCGTTGAGGGATTTTCGTGGATTCTCTAGAAGAGCAAGGTTTTGGTACTTGGCACGGCTGCCGGATCTCTTTCGCCTGGCGCAGCTGCGTATGATGCATCTCGCCCGTGTCTACCCCCCACTCCTCATTAAAGGTCTTTATATGTTGAATGACTGAGTGACGGGCGGGCGACTTCCATAGAGCGGCGAGGGCCGTGTTTTTTCCCTTGTCGAGTTATTTCCTCTATACTTACAATTGTACAGAGGCTAACCCGGTTGCCACCGCGAAGCATCGCAAGGACAGACTCCCGCGTAGCAGTGCTAACACCCTGATCAAACGTTTGTACTGTATCCTTCTTTTTTCCTTGAGTGGTAGGCCAGGAAGAGGATGCCCCCCCGCATCGACCGTAAGCTTTGAAAACAGCAACTCTCCGGGACACGCCGACACGCCGCCTTGGACACAGCGGTGCCCCCTTACTTCTCCCCCCCCCCCCCA